ACATTGCGTCCCCACTGTGTATTAGCTACGCAATACGAAGTGACCGTTCTCGAAAGAGAACGTACTCGGTTACCAACATAACCTCGGTTCCCTGAGAGTAAGGGAACGAGTATTGCGTAGCCTACTGCACTATTGCAATCTGTCAGGATTTGTCGCTTCAGTCGATTTAAACCTGATATATTGGCCGAAATGATCGATCTTTATAGGCTTAGGCCACGCCCATTTAGGGGCGCTCTGACGTATTCGGCGCCAAGTCATTTGTTTGGGTCGCGCGTCTGAGGCGCTCGGTCATAGGATGTGCAGTTGCTGCAGCACAGCCAATGAGCGAGCTAGACGCTCTGCTGTGTTCGCTGTGCAGCTGCACTGAGTTTTAATTGCTTCAATATTTCAAGGAAAAGGAGTTTCCCCACTGCGTATTAGCTACGCAATACTCGTTCCCTTACTCTCAGGGAACTGAGGTTATGTCAGTAACGGAGTACGTTAGCCAGTTAACAGGAGAGCAGCACAATATAAAACTCAAAACTAAGTATATTGAACACCATCTTTCAAGAGCAAGCGGTTTGCGAATCCTGCATTGAACTCCGAGATTTGAGAAGCAGTCGTCAGTAAAATAAAGGGAACACAGCAAAAGTTTAGGATTACACTGCTGTGATATCGTAGTAAAGATGAATTTTAACCACTGATTCTGCATGCTCGTCAAGTTTTCCCTGGTGTCTGCGCGCACAATAAGTGGACGGGCAATATGCCAATGTTTCGTCCTGACGTCACAACGAAATGGCTTATGACTTGTTTGAAAAATGATTCATTTAATTGACTCAGAGTGGACTCTTACATTTGAAAGACAATAACTTTATATACGGTGCACTTTTAGATTTAAATATTTGAAGGATGTTTTCATTCACTTAGAGCTGTTACACACTACATGAAAGGTCATTTTCAAAAATCCATAATAGGGACCCTTTAATTCCTGTCATGGCACAGTGGAAAAGCAGACTTGTAAAACAATTCTCTACCCCACTAACAGATCTCCAAATAAATGTTCTCAGAAGCCTATATTATTGTTATTATTATTATTATTACATTTATTGATCAGACGTGTTCATAAATAGATAATCCAAAGAATTATTATTATTACAGGAGAAGGCGAGGCTTGTTCTAGAGCTGAGGGACTCGTTGGACCCATCTGTGCAGAACACCAAAGCCCCAGTCTGAACAGGTCACAAGTGGAGGGCAGAACTAGCAGTCAACCAGGCTATCAGCAGGCTGAAACACCAAGAAATTGTTGGCAGGACACAGTCAGGGAGAACTGGCCTGTGGTGGGGGACTGCTCCGAAGATGTGGTCCAAAGCCATAAGGAAGGAGAAGAAAGAGCTGGTGATTTCCGAGGTGGTCGGGACAGAGTAGGAGAACTATCAGATCAAATATGGAGTTATTATCCTGTCAAATGTCGAGAGCGCATTATTGTAGCGCGAAAGTACATTAATATAATGCGCGAGCGCGAATCTCTCTGCTCGCGCGCGGAATATGATGTGCCGAGCGCGAATCTCTCTGCTCGCGCGCGGAATATGATGTGCCGAGCGCGAATCTCTCTGCTCGCGCGCGGAATATGATGTGCCGAGCGCGAATCTCTCTGCTCGCGCGCGGAATATGATGTGCCGAGCGCGAATCTCTCTGCTCGCGCGCAGAATATGATGTGCCGAGCGCGAATCTCTCTGCTCGCGCACGGAATATGATGTGCCGAGCGCGAATCTCTCTGCTCGCGCACGGAATATGATGTGCCGAGCGCGAATCTCTCTGCGCACGCGCGGAATATAACTCTTGTAAGAATTCTCTCTCTGGGCTGAGTGGGCTCGCTCAGAGAATATGCCTGCACTTAAGACGTGTTCAGTGCAATCGCGAATCTCTCCTCTTCCCCAGCTAACAATTTTAGGTTATAAGAACGTTTTCATAATGTTCCCATTAAGTTATAAAAACGTTATTTCTGAATGTTCTAGGGAATTTCAAAACGTCCAGTTTTTTAGACGTTGTATTAATGTTATTTCTTGGTTTATTAGAACGTCCAATTCTCCCGTTATATAAACGTTGTATTAATGTTCTTGCTTGGTTATAAGAACATTATTCAAACGTTCAATTCTCCCATTATATAAACGTTCTCTTAATGTTTTTCTAAGATAATGAAAAACGTTTCATTCAATAAAAAAAACATTAAGAAAGGTTTTAATAATTATTAAAACCTTTCTTAATGTTTTTTATATAACAAGGTAGCCTATATAATAGGCCTATATGAAGAACCTAAAACAAGAACTTTCAGATTTTAAAATTAAGACAAAAAAAAAAAAAATGAATCATGTCTATAATATATGTGTAATGTAGTCCACTGAAGTCGAGTTGAATTGAACCCAAGTATAGTTTATTCCAATAAACCGATTTGGGTTGAAGTGACAATATGAAATTGACATGAACATAAACTTGGACTAAACATAGAATCACCAACAATGGTACAGGGAACAAAGCTAGACAAGAGACAATGGGAACACAAGGACAAGGATTATGACCAAAAACAACCAATGACATTCACAAGTTAAAGTTGATTTAATTTATATAGCTAATTTTTACAACAGACACTGGCTGGCCAAAGTGCTTTACAGAACAGCAGAAAAAAGGGGGGGGAAAACCTACATAACATATGGAATAGCATTTTCTGATTGGTTGTTGCCGTTTTAACAGCGTTTATGCCAAGAGCAAAGAGACAGAAATCGAAGAGAAGAGTAATTAGGCATGCGCGAACGCACGGGACACAGTCTAAGCACATACACGCTTACTTTAAGCGAAGAGGAGAGATTCGCGATTGCACTGAACACGGTTTAAGTGCAGGCATATTCTCTGAGCGAGCCCAGAGACAATTCTTACAAGAGCAGCGTGTATCTGAGAGCGCGCGCGAGCAGAGAGATTCGTGCTCGGCACATCATATTCCGCGCGCGAGCATTGAGATTCACGCTCGCGCATTATATTAATGTACTTTCGCGCTACAATAATGCGCTCTCGACATTTGACAGGGAAATAAAGCCATAATCAAAGCCCTTAGCCAACGCCAGCAAGGACGCTGGACGACCTGGGAAGGAGTAATAAGCAGGACCATAGGTTGGGCCGACATGTGGAAGATCCCCCAAGCCAGGCTGAGGTTCCTCATAAGGTCCACCTAAGACACCCTCCCAAGCCCCAGCAACCTCTGTCCATTAATCCCGGAACATCTTACGGTGGTGGAGCAATGTCAGGGACGTCTCCCTGCCGCCCCCTGCAGCTGACCCTAGGAGTAGGACGCTTGCTTTCCCCCCGCCTGGTCCTTCCTTCTTAACCAAAGCCAAAAGCTCCCCTGCTCGGCCCAGAGGAGAGCTGCCAACTTTGCAATGCCCCAAATCCGTGCCTGCAGCACATCCTGTCAAGCTGCAAAACAGCACTGACCCAGGGTCGGTACAGGTGGCGCCATGACCGAGTCCTGCGGAAACTGGTGGAGATCTTGGAGGTACGCAGGGCGGAATCAGCCAGGGAGCGCCTACCACCGACATCAAGGCGGCCGATCCACTTGGTCGGAGAGGGAGGAGGGGCCCCTAACATCATGGAGCCACAGAGATCAGCCCTGGCAGGCAGTTGTGAGTGGAACCTGAGAGTGGACCTCGATCGGCAGCTCAGGTTTCCAACAGAGATCACCACAACCAACCTTCGACAGGACATCATTCTCTGGTATGCCACAGCCCGGGGAGTAGTTTTGGCAGAGCTCACTGTCCCGTGGGAGCGAGGAATGGAGGCAGCCTTTGAGAGGAAAAAAGATTGGTACCTCGACCTCACAGCCGAATGCAGAGAGGCTGGATGGTCAGCTGGTGGAAGTCGGCTGTAGGGGGTTCATAGGAGCATCCACCCAGCATTTCCTGAAGAGCATGGGAGTCACCGGCCCCAAACTCAGAAAGGCTCTGAAAGACCTGGTCGAGGAGGCCGAGCAGGGAAGCTTTTGGCTTTGGTTAAGAAGGAAGGACCAGGCGTGGGGAAAGCAAGGGTCCTACTCCTAGGGTCAGCTGCAGGGGGCGGCAGGGAGACGTCCCTGCCATTGCTCCACCACCGTGAGATGTGGATTCCGGGATTAATGGAGCGAAACATCAATGAAGGGTGGCTCCCGGCTGATGACCCTGCAGCTACCTGCAATGGCACCGTCAGAGGTGCGGCAAGCAGAAATGCTCAGCAGGCAGTCACTTGCCTATGCTACCACCTTTATTATCATACTAATAATAAGGAAAAAAAGCTTTTATGACCTGGATACATTTCTTAGCAAAGCTATGTTAATAATAGATCATATTAAGTTAATTTAAGAATACATTTCATTTTTTCTTAATACTAATACAAGGCTCATTTTAAGCAAAGCCACAGATCATGTTGTGAAGCATAAAAACAGGTAGAGTTACAAATATCATAAGACAGGAAGTGGTTTTATTGAAGTGGTTTTCTATTTCAGTACGGTAGAAAATCTATTAGCTCATCTCTGCTTGGCTTCTTCAAGCACAACCTCTTTTGATAATTTACCAAATTTGCCTACATTATCTTCAGGGCTCATTTTACTCACATAAAAAATTTCCCCATGCAGATCACACAAAACATGACTCAAGACCATATCTTGCCACATACAGGAGTTAACACAGGGCTTGTCTGTTTACTGTCTGCAATCAAAATGTAATCACTGTTAAATAGAGTATCCCTACTAAATACAATCAGTATCCCACAGAAAAGAAAGCAATGTGTCTTTTATAGTCCTATTCAAATACACATCCTGTTTGAGGATCACAGCTGCTGTGTGTGTGTGTGTGTGTTGTGTGTGCGCGCGAGCCACAAAGCATTTTGACCTCAAAACCCTGTTGAACATCTGGGCGGACGCGCATGCGCATCAAAAATTAGGTGAACTACTCGAACTCGCAAGCAACTTTTCAAAGAAAACGTTACTCTGCCCTTTTCCTGTTATAAAAAGGTGACAACCGCCAGTTTGTTTTTAGGGGTGGCGTAAAACGGATAAGTGAAGAAATCAGATGTAGTGACGTTACAAATGCCATGTTTAACAGGAAGAAGTTGAACTTTTCTGCAACGCTAGGCTATAAAGTGGAGTAGAGTTAGGCTATGTTGCTCCAGACCGGCGGACACATCGCTTTTGTTTTGAACCTGACATTGCTTTTATGTCATTTTATATAAGAAAACATTATTCAAGTCGGTTTCTTATGATTTTTATCCCGCGGATGCTTAACTCATCATGACAAAGGAAACTCTCAGGACCGTGGCAACCACGGCGACGCTTTTCTTCTGTTTATGTTTTTCATCTTTTAAAGCAGAGATCCCTTCTTGCCACGGCGCCTACGACCTTTACTTTGTTTTAGACCGGTAAGTAATCGGAAATTTAAATGTAATTAGCTATTTCAAGACAAAATATATCTAGCCTACTTATGGCGCATAGAGTTACTGTTTATAGGGTTGCATATTGTTTACACAATACAAGACTCGTGTTTGTTAAGGTGTGAATAAGGTCCAATAACTGACTGTCCGTGTCAGCTATTTCACAGTTTGACCTGATTTTACGTGTGCCAGTCACTATTGGCGACCAGCACTATCCAGGGGCCACACGAGTCACGACACTTGGCTGGAAAAAATACTTTTTGAGTCTTACAGTTTTGATTGATTAATTGTAAAAGCTGTGTGCGGAGGAGAAACGCTGTCATCTTCTGTTTCTGAAGTCTTGATTGTGACTATTCATTTATGTCTTTCTGTAGGCTAATAGATGTAGTTCAAGAAGCCCTATCTATCTATCTATCTATCTATCTATCTATCTATCTATCTATCTATCTATCTATCTATCTATCTATCTATCTATCTATCTATCTATCTATCTATCTATCTATCTATCTATCTATCTATCTATCTATCTATTTATCTATCTATCTGTTTAATAGATGTACACAAGTTCAAAAAGACTAACTGGCTACTTGTCTGTCTGCCTGTCATCTGTATCTGCAATGTTTCATATTAAATTACACCCCTTTGAGAATAGTTGTCGGCCTCAGTGCTGTCCACAGGATGATGGCACTGATATGCTGAGGGCAGCACAGAACTAGCCAGGCATAATGACCAGTCAAAGACTAGCAGATCCGGCCTTGAGTGTCTGTGCCCGGCCCCGGAATGAAACTTGCCTTCACACCTCCAGATCATTCCTTATATTAAATGTGGTTTGATGTTCTCTGATGGTCCCACTAAAGCTTATCTAGATTCTCTGACCTTGGCTTGAGGAAGAAGACAATGCATAAAAAATTATTTTCTAATTACCTATCGCTTGTGTTTTATGTTCTCAGCACATGCATGGGACTATAATTATTAGTTCATTACCCTGTAGCTATTACATCAAGGGCACATTTTACACAGCTTTTTTCATTAAAGACACTGCACTGCATCGAGGTTAATCTCGCAAAAGTCCACTTCCATGGATTTTATGTTGTGAAATGTAGATTTCTCATATATTGAGAAATTATTATGAAAGCATCTCTGTATATCTACAGTAGCATTCTGGCTATACGTTCATTGATAGCTCTGCTTGATTTTATGTTGATATGTGTGGTGTTCACTGTATGCTCTGGCTTTTGAGTCCTAGCTTGGCAAAAGTTGTGTGTTTTTTGTTACGCAAATTTTTAAAATATTTTTTAAAATATTGAAAATAGAAAACGGTTGTTTTAATGGTAATAATATTTCACAATATTACTGTTTTTAAATCAAATAAATGTAGCCTTGCTGAGCATAATAGACTTGTATAATAGCAAAAATTTATATTAGCATGGACATCGGCCACTGACTGGTAGCTTGATGTTTGGTGTTGGAAATGATGCAGTGTGTTTAAGACTGAGTGCTGCTGGGAACTGAAGTGGTCAGCAATAAAGTGCCTTGACTCAGTTTGTGTTGTGTGTTGGATGACAGACTCCCTCTTTTCTCTGAGATACACAAGGATTAACACTGAAGTGTAGCGGACTCAGCCTCTTTGCCACAGTGTAATCAACAGCACAACTCTTACAGTAACCACATGAAGACATTTGACTTAAAGATTTAAGTATAATTGCCTCGAGCTGTTTCTTTTTTCTTTTTTTTGTGCTGAGATTGTTTTTAATCCGTTACAGATCTGGAAGCGTGGGCGAAGACTGGGGTCAGATCTATGACTTCGTCAAAAATCTTACCGAGAGATTTGTGAGGTAAATATTCTTGCTTTATTTTCGTTTATTGTTCTATGTCAAGTTAGTTGTACAATAATGATTCTGAATGTAACGCCCAATCCACCTCATCAAAGGAAGTTAGCCATAACAACTTGAATCAAAGCTAAATGCTAACTTGGCTACACAGCAGCTACACATCTGGTTCTGAGATGGCCCTACAGTGGGGTGGGTTGACTAAATGTATTAAACAAAATCACCAGATGAATGTGAACTTATGTAACGTTGACTCAATGTATGTGCCAGTACAGACGGTAGCGACCTAGCCAGAAGAAAGCAGTCTGCTTGAGAAAATAGCAAAGGGAGCAGGTGGGAGTGGGTGGCAAGGAGACTCAGTCTTCTGGGCTGTGAGAATGGCCATTTGCACTGCAACCATCCAACAGCACACTTATCCCTCACACATGAAAGGAGAAGACGCAGCCAATGTACTTTAAGTCATGAGTGCAGGAAGACCAGTGCAGTCTGCCATAGACTTTGATGGTCTTCTGTTGTGCCATGCCATGTGGTCTGTTTTTAAGCGTTGAATGGACCTGGTGTATAAGTATCTTTAAGAATTATCTCGAAAAGCTGTGCGAAGGGATCCCGTGTTGTTTTATGGTGTAATAAGGGACCAACCCGAAAGACGACACAAGTAGTTTACAACATGTCTTTATATCTTCAGGAACATTCAAGATCAGTTCCTTTTCTGGGCAATTATTTTTTCACGCAGGGCATCGTAATACCATTTGGCGATTCATTGTTATATTTATCACTCAATCAGCCTGTGAAATGTTCAGTCCTCCTGCCTGTTCTTCATTTGATTTTTGTTACTAAAATTTGGCTGCTTGAACACATTTGGATGTTCTCCCTGAGTATCTCATGTGGGGGATGGTTGTGGATTGGATGTCATTCTGAGTGAGAAAAAGCAGCACATCTCCTTATGCTTAGTCCTGAGACCTGACTTCAAATGTGTAGAGGAACCCAACATGTTCCTATGCTGTATCAGCTTCGAGACAGAAGGTTGTGAAAAAGACCAACTGCTTCATTGAAATGTACTTGTCATAATCAGCTATAAATTTGTTGTCAGATTATGAATCAGTTCCCTCTGAGAAAAAACATTTTTATTCCAAAATCACTGACACAAAATCCCTGTTTTTTGTAAACCAGCAGTTTTGTAAACGCATGATAGCATCAGTGTTATTATTGTTAACTAAAACTAAAACTATTGAAATAACACTGAAATAAAATAAATATTATATCAAAAACTAAAATCTTTTTTTTTTTTTTTTTGCTTTGGCAACTAACTGAAATGAAATGCTTAAGTTCAAGTGTTAAAACGACTAAAGCTAAAACTGAAATAAAAATAAATATAAATAGGAAAACAAACACATACAAAAATGAAAACTAAAAGCAATTTCAAAAATGGAATACATTTTGGATAGCATTAACAAAGCAACACACCATAATTTTTAAATTGACATATAGGCCTAGAAATGCACATCTTTATTGCATCACTGTTTTCCAGAAAAATTGTGTGGCTGCATGTTTGTCCTATTCGTATTGCGAAAGGTAGGAGGAATAAATATAGGAAGTGACAGCAGGTATAAATATAATCACCAACAGGATGTATGCATGAATCACACATGACAACCTGTTTCCTGTCGGTATATCAATTAATCACTTCCTTGGTCCAAGCAGAAGAGGGTTTTTTTCCCAGTCACAAGCTTTTATTAGCTAGTCACATTGGCTATCTTATTCGTAAACTAACTCTGATGATTGCGAAAGGAAGATGAGGACAGCAAGACTTTCAACATCACAGGATTTCTCTGATAGCATCATTCTCACCAATGCTTGTATTTAGCTTTATTATTAAAGTATAAGGTAACACTTTATTTCGATAGTCCACTTTAGACATTCTACTAACTTTAAGTAAATTTGCAACTACATGTCAACTCTCAGTCATTAGAGTATTAGTAGACTGTCTGCTTAATATCTGCTAACACTTTATTTTGTTGGTCCCCCAACATACATTCTAAGTAACTTGGCAACTACAAGTCAACTTATTCTCCTAACCCCAACTCCTAACACCTAACCATAACCTACCAGCCTACTACAGCCTACTAATACTCTAATGAGAATTAGTTGACATGTAGTTGAAAGGTTACTTATAGTTAGTAGAATGTCTAAAATGGACTATCGAAATAAAGTGTAACCAAGTATAAATATATGTCACTTCTCAAGAGCTTTTTTTTGCTGTGGTACAAAAAAGACATGTGTATAACTTGAATTTGCAGTTGTACTTGATTTTCCATTTGTCACTCATCTACAGCGTTTTTCAATTTTTCTCATATCTTTTCATTCCAGTCCAAATATGCGAGTGTCCTTCATAGTGTTTTCATCAAGAGCAGAGATTGTGTTACAGCTCACTGGAGACAGGTATGGAATCAGGCTTGCATGAAGTATTTGCAGTCCCTAGTGTAAGAAAGCTAGTAACACGCCATGTGTTTGTGTCGTATAGTACATTAAAGACGAGTAAATATTTATAGTGTAAAGGTTTCCTTCATATGTAGATGGGGTTCAATGACTCTTTAAAATGACCATGACATCATATTGCATGCATAACATTTAGTAGAATATTTCTCTCACATTCACTCATCAGAATATTTCTTGCTTTTCATTATCAGGGGAGAAATTAATGATGGCCTGAGGATTTTAAATGAGGTCAAACCAGCAGGAGAAACCTATATGCATGAAGGAATGAAATTGGTAAATATATGAACAGACTCAAATATATGAACAGTGGAATGAAATGTGCATTTTTACAATTAATTTATCGAAAAAAGAATAAAGCTTTTTTTCATGTTTTGAGGACACAGGAGTGTACGGAACTCTCAAATCAGCTTGACTGACTGTATTTCCTGTACTTTAGTCTTTTACTAGAATAAACAAAATAAAACTGTAAACTGATTGGTTCCCCTCGTGACCATGATAAGGCATAATTACATCCATCTAAATAAACACACCACATTCAATGTCCTGAATCTGGCCTCAAGTCTTTATTACAATAATAGATACATTATATATTTATATAAATTACTGTGCATTTTTATCCCCGCCGTTTTTGAGAAAATTAAGTTTCTACTGATAGAACTTTATAACCCCTCCTTCTTCTCTCCAGGCATCTGAACAAATAAAAGAACAAAAAAAGTCCTCTAGTATCATTGTGGCCTTAACTGATGGAAAGCTTGAACCATATATCCATCAACTCACTAAGGATGAGGTGAGCTGTTGTCTAACACTTTACATATGTTTATATTTTTATGGCAAAAAATAATTACATTGTTATGACTGTATGTTGTGTTTATAGGCTGAAATAGCAAAGAGTTATGGAGCTCGTGTGTACTGTGTTGGCGTAAAGGACTTTGATGAAGAACAGGTAATGTTGGCATTCCAGCAGATTTTAAAATAATGTGCATACTACATGCATGCACAGAATCTATTTGCAAATAACACTTCAAATCCTCTCTAAAGCTCCACCAAGAGCAGGGTTTTTGCAGAGTTGCCTGTAATTGAAGGACTGCTGCTCTTTTCCTGTTTCTGTAGCAATGACACACTGAGTTAAAGGAGAGGAAATGTCAGCAATTTTTTTTTTCTTGCTTGGCTATCAGCCCTGTTATTATTATATTTCTATTTGCCTGCCAACAGCTCGCCGATGTGGCTGATAATAGGGAGCAAGTGTTCCCAGTCAAAGGAGGCTTTCAAGCTCTCAAAGGCATCGTTAATTCGGTAAGTTCTCCATGCCAGGGGCACCCATTCCAAAAGGTGTGATAAATGCCTCTGTGGTTTTAGTCAAGGAGTTCGCAAAGTGGGCAAAAAAATGAGGTCCCTATGATTTCCACAATGCAGAAATGTATAATGCAGAATGTCACATAATTTGGCAAATTAATAAATAAAATGTACACTTAAAGGGTTAGTTCACCCAAAAAGGAAAATTCTGTCATTAATTACTCACCCTCATGTCGTTCCAAACTTTCGTTCATCTTCGGAACACAAATGAGGATATTTTTAATTAAATCTGAGCAATTTCTGTCCTTCCATTGACAGCTACGGAACTAGCACTTTGACACTTCAAATAGTTCATAAAGAGATCGAAAACTAATCCATATGAATTGAGCGGTTTAGTCCAAATATTCTGAAGAGACACGATCGCTTTATATGATGAACAGATTGAATTTACGCTTTTATTCACATATAAACATTCATCAGCGAACATAAACAGAAGCTCAACCGTACTTGCTTGACAAGCGAGAACAAACCTCATTTGGTTCTTGCAGAAGCTCAAATGTGCTTCATAACACTGGAATGAACCTCATTGGTTCTTGCAGAAGCTCAAATGTGCTGTTTAACACAAGAATGAACCTCATTGGTTCTCCCATGTCAAGGGAACATGCATGTGCTTCCGTTTACCACAACTGATGTGTGCTTTGATGAATGTTTATATGTGAATAAAGGCCTAAATTAAATCAGTTCTGCGTATAAAGCGATTTTGTCTCATCAGAAAATTTGGACTAATCCGCTTTTACGATCTCTTTATGAACTTTTTGAAGCATCAAAGTGGTAGTTGTGTAGCCCCTTAACTGTCTAACGTTTGACATTATATTTTTAAAACAATAATATCTTAGTAAAAACCTTAAGTAATATTGACAAACTATATATCATTTGAAAGCTTACAATCTCTAGTTTCCATATTTGGTGACTGATTTTCAAAATAAATTACAGAGGAGCCATAATTTATCAATTTGTAACAAGAATATTTTCATACTCCTAAGGCGTGTTCAGACGCCTTAGGAGTATGAAAAGGAGTATTCTTTATTTAGGAGTATTCTTTATTTTGAAATTGCAATGAACATGAAAAATCATGAAAAAATGGTAGAAACCTCAGTTTGTTTTCATGCCAAGAGTTCAAAAGATAGCATCCATTCAATTATTTTAGAAAAAAGGTCTGAAAATGTTTGAAATGTAAAGAAAAAATAAATAAATTCACTATTTGTGATGTGGCAGTGAGCTATGACGCACATGCGTGTTCTTTGTATGTGTTTCTTAGAGGTTGAATTCATATCAAAATCTGCCAAACTTCCCATACTACTTCTGAATAAGATCTCTACTTCATAAATTGTATGAAAATTGTGGAAATAATGGTTCATATCACTCAAAACACATATGGAAATGGAGGCGCCCTTATATGGGTAGTAATGGAGTCTGGTTGTGACCTAGTGAAAAAGTTTGGTACTGCGCCCAAACAAAATCTTACTGAAAGCTCATTTTTTGAGATATCAACCTAAAATTTGAAACACAACTTGTTCAGATTTTTGGCTTTGATTTTTCTGCAGTTTTAGAGTAGCCCAGGTTTTGAAAATATATATTTTATATAAAATATGAATAATTAATTTTTTTACATTGTACTTTTACATAAACTCAAACTTATATAACTTTTTTTCTGTTTCACTTTCTTAATTTATTTCACTTCTACAAAAATCTGCCAAATGTCTTCTTTAAGACAAGACCAATCTTACGTCTATATTCCAAAGCATTCTTGAATTACAACCATTTAAGTTAGAAATGTGCATTTTCATGTCTATTCAAAAAAAGGGGGGTGACAGTTAACAGGGTAGCTACCAAGATGAACAAGACGAAGATGAACAAAAATATTACGGGTTTGGAACAACATGAGGGTAAGTAAATGATAACAGAATTTTCATTTTTGTTGAACTAACCCTTTAATTAAATTGTGATATGCATTAGCGTCTGTGAATATTAAAGCTCAAAAACACTGCTATTTAAATATGAAGTCTGCAATGCATGTTCTGTTCTGTTCTGTTCTGCTCGTCTTGTTCATGTTCTCTGTGAATGAGCGCCACAGGCAAGCATTTTCACATACTCAAGCACGCGAGATGCTCTTGGTGTTTTTAGCGTCTGCCGTCTCACTATATAAGGACATTAACAACATGAACTTCATTTCCAGAGCTGCTCTGAGAGTCACTTCAGCATTTCAACATTTCATTTGATAAAACTATCGTCATATCATATGCACACAGAAACTCAAAGGTCTTCACGACAACCCGTCAAAATTAAGATTCTGTTTAACTTGAAGAAATTATAACAGAAAAAGATATTATTATTGCACCGTATAATGTACTTCTCACAGTAATAATAAATACAAATTAAGGAACAATCACAATTTTTCTTCCTTGTTTTAATTCAATTTAATTTAATTTAAGAAATGCGGCACTTTGCCACAATATAAAATGAAGTGTTACATTTTCATTTGATCACATTTTTAAAAGATTGCATTTTTTAAATATTAGCCTTCATTTCATTATTGCCTTTTTGATAATAAAGTTGTATTAAAATCACTGTTATAATTATGAGAGGGGTCTTTGGAAAATGTTCTCCCGTCTAAGGGGTCCCTGGCCCCAGCAAGTTTGAGAACCCCTGTTTTAGTCGACTAAGACAGATCCATTCTTAAGCAATCATTTAGCCGACAATTTCTTTAAAGAGACTTGCACTAGACTTATCTTGTAAACAGCCCCCTGGAGCAAAAAGGGGTTAAGTGCCTTACTCGAGGGAAAAATGCTGAGAGAAACTACAACAAGCCCATATTTTCAACCCTTAAGCCATTCTATATCTATATCTTGTGTTCTTTGAAATAGGGCTGCACGATTAATCGAATTTTAATCACGATCACGATTTTGGCATCCCACGATCAAATTCGCGTGATCGAGCGATATTTTAAATGCGTCATTCAGTTCACAGAAAGCTTTTTTTTTGCCAATCTAGCGCACCGTAAACCAGTGTCTGATCACGTGCCTCCATGAGCCCAGGTGCGCGAGAGAGACCTACGGTCTGCGTGCGAGCGACAGTGCACGAGAGAGACCGCGAGTGTGTCTGCGTGCGAGCAACAGCGCGCGCCTACCGATTGTGTCGCGCGCGAGAGAGACTGAGTGACAGTGCGCGTGAGAGACCGAGTGTGAGCATTAGTAAATTGCATTAGTAAATTGGTACATACTACATATATATATTTACTATTTATACCATGGTCTGGGTGAATACTCGATTCTGATTGGCTGCAGGGTGTCCGTTAAAAAGTGATAGAGGACACCTAAAGTAGTTCTGGTGAAACTGCCTGTTTACCATTCGAAATTAATAAATAAATGCGCTGCCTACAACAGCTGTGTGAGTAACCATAGCAACAGGCAGTCAACGTTAGTTAGATATTACATAGCCTACTACAATGAGCGACTTCGTTCGTTATTTCATCTTCAGTCTCTCACGGACTGACGGAGCCCAGTAAGCCCGCAGACTGCTCTCGCATCGATGGCCTGTCACCGACTTTATTTGACGGCTCTCCAGTCCAGCATCGGAGAGTCGACCTACAGCGGTGCTTCGGAGGCTGTGGTTAGTGTAGACTAGTGTAACACAAAGTGTTTTATGTGCAATAAAAAAATAACTATGCCTACCTTTGTGTTTCATGAAAAAAAAAATGCATTTTTGAACCTGAAGGGTTCTACAAGCTGAGCGGACTATACATATCTCAAGTTGCTAAATAAATCGTCAGGCAAGTTATTATTTGAAAAAACTAGATTTAGCCTAATTAAAATATAAACTAATGTTTTAAAAATGTTTTATTTGGCAAGTGACCATGGTATAAGCGGGTTAATGCCCTTCGAGGTGACCGTTGTCAGGTTTTAATGGACTTCGGCGGAGGCAACCGTCCTCCGCTGCGCGTCGGCCGGTTTACACCTCGCCGTCGTCCATTAAAACCTGACAACGGACACCTCGTCGGGCATTAACCCTTACATAAGAGGCATGGAAGTTCGATTAATGGACTCCAATAATCAGTCCTACAAACGTCTTGTTTTGACCTATTGTTTAACAAATAGAAATAATTTGAGCACATAAACTTTCACATGGAGAATTAAATAGATTAAATTTATGCAGTAAGACTTCACAACTAATCACTGACACTGTAGGCCTACCACAACATTTTACATTTATTAAGCGTCAAATAACAATGACTCTGAATTTCATCCATTAATCGAACTTCCATAGTGCAGTTCTGCCTTGAAATGTTCTCATTTGGTTACATTCTGTTATGGAATATTTGTTTTTTTATTGATTGTATATTTTGCGTGTTTTATTCACATCCATTATGCAGGTACAATGCAAGTTTATATTTTGCTTCCTAAAATAGATTTACACAATGTAAAATGTAAAATAGTGCCCTGTTGAAGTTTTGCTACATTTTCTTTATTGTTTTCTTTATTCTTTAAGGAGATGCACTGAATTTTGGTGAATAAGAGGACCTATTTTATTTAGATACACATACATTAGCAGAAATGTAGCACAATATGGATGTGAAAGCAGTTATAATTAGCCTATGTGGCAATAAAATTTGTTTTGGTTAAAATCAACAAATAATCGTGATAATTAATCGTGATCGCAATATTGATCAAAATAATCGTGATTATCATTTTGGCCCAAATCGTGCAGCCCTACTTTGAAATGGACATATTTTTTCAGTTAAAATTGGCTTCAGACAGATTGCATGATGCTAAAGCAGTCCAGATTTGTTATTTGACTAAAGTAAAGTTTTTTAAAAATGCTGTTTTGTAAAGCAACTTTATCAAATATAGCTTTTGAAAGCTCTAGCATCACTTGGTTGTATATTGTTGGTTATAAAGGACTTTGTGAAACAATGTGTTTGTAAAGCGGTTTCATCTTACACAAGTCTGTTGACAATTCATTTGTGATACTTTCCATTTGTTTCATGATGCTTTGAAATGTTCCTTGTCTTGGCATTTACCAATGATGCGGTTTAACATTGTAAACATGGTACGAAGACTGAACATCATCTGCCATCAGTAAACCATCAACAGCTGAGGTCAGTGTTGTTGAACATGGGTGTGTTGTTTTGTGACAACAGGAATCAGTTTCTGGGATATTTTTTCAGGTTTAGTCATGCAAGACAAAAGACAGGACCTCCTTGTAATTTATTGTTTTGTTCAGAAAAAAAGATATGAAAAAAGACCATCATCTCGTTACTTAGTTAGCTTGTTTGGCCAAATGTAGTTTCAGTTCCACCAAAACATAGGCATTCTCTAGTGATTAGTAATCTTGGAGGCTGGGCTAGTTGGCCTCATGTTGCTCTCTGCTCAGATTTCCAGGATTTGAGATCATCTGTGCAGCTTTGCAGTCCGGGGCTAAAGTAGACTTAACAGAGATTTTGCAAAAAGCAAAAGCCTAAAGAATAGATTTATTCAGGCCTATTTTAATATTCCAAGAATGGTTTGATTGATGGCAGTTTTTTTTATATTGTGTGGCCATATCATAATATTTGCATGATATGGTTGACTGGTGCATATCTACACTACTGTTCAAACGTTTGGGGTTAGTAAGAAATTTTCTAATACTCAAACAGACAGAAAGAACTAAGCATGTTTTTCTGAGTAAAACACAATGTTGACCCAATGGTGATGTGAAAGGGAAAGATTTTGCATTCAGATGAGGTCAAGAACATTTTCAGCCAAATTTGTAGTGCTAATTCTCACACCACTGACACCTCGGCTCCTATACATCATACAGTGAAGTCATGGCAGTATCATGCTGTGGAGCCGTTAGAGAAGAATGTCAAAGCAAAACACTGGAGAATACTGAAGCTTGGAGAAAAAAAAAACTCTTTCAGCAGGATGGTGATACAAACACAAGTCCAAGTGAAAAAAGGTCAATCCATTTGAGAATGTGTGGCTGTGCAAGAATGTCATGATTAATCAATCATGTTTTTTAGAGAGCTGTCTAATAATGATAGATAGATAGATAGACAGACAGACAGACAGACAGACAGACAGACAGATAGGTAGATAGATAGACACAGATAGATGGATGGATGCTCTGATGCTTTAAGTCTATTCCTGTGTATAGATACCTGTCAGAGAAAATAAGGTGAAATAGTCTTGCAATGAACATCCCTTGTATCGTGCCGTCTCATAACTCATTAAAGAGCCATAAAGACCATCCTGAGTATTATTCAGCCCTGACGTTTATTCAGTGTTCCTTCTCCCCTTTAATGATAGCAGAGTTTATCAGGTGTCATCTTCAATCAGCCTGTTTTATACGTGTCCTCCACTTCAGTCTGAAGCCTCATCTCCGCTGCAGGTGATTCGGAGGACCATATCTTTCTGTTAATGTTGTCTTTTTGCCCATTGTGTACAGAGATTTGCATAGTTTGTCCTCTGTTGATTTATGTGGATGATGGGAGAGGCGATGGTGTCCTCTCACAGGCCTGTTTATATGATAATGTCAGCCTGCGGTCTCTAATAGAGCTGAAGAGGGAAAATGGCACCGCATAATTTCCCCATAACGGCTGACACGGGTCTATCCCACACCGCACTGTATGTGATGCTCGTCTCATTGAGCTTGATTTGGCATAGCAAACATCTCCGGCGTGAATGCTAAAGACCCGGACACTGTGATAGCTGATATAGTGATTCAGCAGTGACAAGTGCTGATTTTAATACTTTTTTTTTTTTTTTATCGTTCAGATCCTCAAGCAATCATGCACAGAGATCCTAACAGTGGAGCCGTCCAGCGTCTGCGTGAACCGTAAGCATTTCAAGGGCTTTTACAGCTATCAGGGTGGATGAAATTGCCTTTGTGTGTGTGTACGTGGTCGTTGATTTGGGTGAACGCCCAGGAGTGCTTCTCATTATGTCCTCATCTGGTTTACATACCACAGAGTCCTTTGACATTGTTTTAAGAGGGAACGGGTTCACACTGGGGAGACAAACAGAAGGAGTTGTCTGCAGTTTCATAGTGGATGGAGTTACTTACAGTAAGTATGATAATACCACATATATTGCCCTCAGTCTTACCCTCAAGCTTGATATGATATTCCATAGATAAAGCCAAATGATAAAAGAGAGATGTTGTGTCTGTGAGAGTCAGTTGTATCATACAGGAACTGACAAGCTGGTCACACCTAGCATGCAATGCACCTAAGTTGCAAGACGTTTTGTGGCTTAACTGTCACTTTAGGTTACTAAAGACAGTATAAGATACTCAACTAGACCAACAAACATTTAAAGCAGTGGTTCTTAACCAGGGGACCTCAGCAAACTTCCAGAAGAGCTGCAGGATGACATCAAATTATTTAAATTCATATTAATATAATTGCTATTATTAATACGTTAAAACAATCTAACAACTAAAATGCTCCGTTTATGATGGAAAGACAAAATTATTGACACCCCCAGTTTCTGTTAAAATATTATAATTTTATATTATATATCAAAAACATTGAGCGTCTCATCTAAGCAACAATATTTTCGGGCTACATTTTCTCAAAGGGATAGTTCACCCCAAAATTGAAAAATTCTGTCATTTACTCATCCTCATGTCGTTCCAAACCTGTATGACTTTCTTTATTCTATGAAACACAAATGAAGATGTTTTTTTTTTTTTAATTTCTTTGCTTTATTTATTGTCCATACAGTGAAAGCCAAGGGAGTCCAACACTATATTTGACACCATTGACTTTCATTGTATCAAGACATTTTTCAATACATCTTCATTTGTGTTTCACAGAATAAAGAAAGTCATACAGGTTTGGAACGACACTAGGGTAAGAAAATTATCATCATTTTTTGTGTGTGTGAAGTTGAACTGTGCCTTTAAATGTGTATAACAGTCATATATATATTTTTTCATGAGCAGTCATATGCTATAGGGTCACTATACTCTGCACTTTAGTGCTGTCCCTATCAGACACGGAATCGTGCTTCCTTTATGAGTGCAAAACCATTAGACGACAGATCCTCATATGGGATCCACATGTTTGCTCACTGCTATTGGAACCAGACAGGAAATACATAAACGTTGAATTCTGGGTGCCTTCAGCAGTGATGCGGCAAAGGAATCATTTTCAAGTGGGATGAAAAAACCTAGTTTGGCAACGGATCATAACAAAATCAACTTTCTATTCATTTTGCAGAGGAAAAGCCAAGCAAGGTGAAGGATAACTATGTCCTGTGTCCTGCTCCAGTGCTGTATTCAGTGGGACAGTGAGTATTTATGTTTCATAAAGCAGCAAGTGTCATTAAGATCTCCAAATGTACAGAAAGCATGCATTGAACTCAATTAAATGTATTTTGCATAATTTCAACCCCACTTGAACAGACTGTTACAGCCTATCGTGCATACTTTGAGCTGCAACATTATGACCCATTAAATTATCATGTGATATGCCAGCCTAAAATGTCATGTTACAGCATTATGTTATTGAATTGACTGAGACGCAGCACCCTGTGTAGATCTGGGATTAACTGTGAGCAGCTTGTGTGAAATTATGGTCCGACTTACCCGGGACGTTTGATCCCCTATACGTGGTCGCCGTTCAAAAGGCTTGCTTAATTAACTCTTGGCTGGCAATTGTGACCCATTAAGTAGTTTGCTGCTATGAACGGCTAGTAAACACATCTGGTGGAGGGCTTTAAAAGGATGTGCGACAGATGCACTGATTCCCTTTACCATGCTCCCATTTAAATAATTCACGATGCATTGACAATAGGCAACCACATAACACCTGCATCATGTCTGAGCGCTAGAAATGTCTCTCTCTGTCTTTTTCTTCCACTCTCTTTCTACCTATCTGTCAAGTTTGCATTGAAAAAAACGGCCAATTTCGAGGAATGCCACTTCGAAAACCAGTTGTTAATGCCATTTATATCATATTTGCAGACATACTGTATATGAGTTGTCCTGAACAATCCTTCCTGGAACAGACCACTAGGGAATATCAGATAGTGTCTTTTCGGAGGCATTTTGGGATTCAAAGGGTCTTTGTGGTTCAGTGACGTAGCGCCAGATATCAGGGTCTCATCTGCAGCGACAGCTGTTGGTTCGTCAAACCAGGATCTAGGGCATCTGTCAGCCTGCCCATTAGCGCTGGCCGGCCCCATCCCTTCGAGTCATTGGCTGGAGGGGGTGAGGAACTTTTGTCTGGCAGCAGCATGTCCTCACCTGCGTTTTCACAACAACAGCGGAGTGAGAAAAATAACTGAGGGACAGACCTGACACCTGCCTGCAGCGCGAGTGGTGGAACGTGCCTCATCAATAATCAATCTGATCTGTCAGGCCGCCATTTTAGTTCCATCTGTGTAGGGGGTGGGAGATGCAGCCAGTTAACATGGCAGCACTGCCTCCACAGGAGCTCCTACTCTCACTCTGCTTGATGATTAAAAGATGGTTACACTTTCCAAAATGAAAGGCAATGTTGTACTGAATTGGTTTATTTATTTTTGAATCAAAGTGTGATGTTTTCATATCTGGATATGTCACATTGGATTTTTCACTAGTGCTTGGAAGCTACTTGCCAAGCTGCCTACAAACCAATCATAATTCGAATTAGCTAATCTAGATTCAGTCCATTCTTTTGGAAAAGTAGTTCTACTACCATTCAAAGTTTGGGGTCGGTAAGATTTTGTAATGTTTTTCAAAGAAGTCTCTTATGCTCTACAACAGGGATTCCCAAAGTGTGGTACGCGCACCCCCAGGGGTACGCGAGCTGCCACCAGGGGGTGCGCGAGAGGAAAAATGTAATGGCGGTCTGTTTTGTAAGTGGGATTTTTCCATACAATAAAATAAAAACCATGAACAGTAAACATTTCCTTTGTAATCGCTTTTATTTTAAATAAAAAAACTATAATTTATTAGTTTTTGATAGAAACGTTGAAAACAGCTGCTGTCTTTTACGCACTGCTCTGCATTGTAGAGTCTACAAGGCTGCATTTATTTGATCAAAAATACAGTAAAACTGTAATAATGTGAAAAATTGCTGTTTAAAATGTGCTATTCGTGTATAATTTTAAATGAAAAGCTGAATTTTCAGCAGCCATTACTCCAGTCTTCAGTGTCAAATGATCCTTCAGAAATTCAGAAATGCTAATTTAGTGCTCAAGTAACATTTCTTTCTATTATAAAAGTTCAAATAATTTGTGCTGCTTAATATTTTTTGTCGAAACTGTGATACTTTTGTTTCAGTATTATTTGATGAATATAAAGTTCAAAAGAGCAGCTTTAGTTCGAAATGGAAAATATTCGTAACATTATAAATGTCTTTACTGTCATTTTTGATCAATTTAATGCATTATTTCTAAATAAAAGTATTAATTTATTTTAGAAAGTCTTACTGACCCCAAACTTTTGATTGGCAGTGCATGCTACAAGCTACTAACAAATGGCTAACCAAATTGAAGCTATTTAAGGTGGCAAAATGTTTTTAATTATTGTAACTGATATCCGTTAATATAATTTATTTTTCTAATCAGAGCAGTTTAAATCTGAATCAAAAACGTGTCAGAAATGAAAAGTAGTAGTAAATTGTAGTACAGTATATCGCACACAGCCAGATTTTATTAAGAAAACTGTGAATCTAACAGATTTAACTTCGGAAAGTTAAGTCAGACTGTCGGTGCTGATGCATGTTAGGCCTTCAATAATGCAGGTTGTTCGCTTTTATTTGAAAGGGAAGTTAGAAAGCTCTTCGTGACACCCGTGTCATCCCATTCAGCTAGCTACGTCACGTTCACTTTCCATCAGCATGTGTTTTGTGACAAGGAATCAAACTCGCACACCACTCTCAGTCTCTTGTGGTGCCATGAGGGGCCGTCTGTGATGGCAAGAGCACTTGTGTCCATGTGCTTTAGTTATTCTGCTGAACTTCTGTCACATTTTCTTCTTCTCTGCATTTCTAGACAAAAGGGAACCATTCAATGAGGCAATCAGTTTCAGGAACAGCTTTGTATGTTTAGCACAGGATTCACCTGTTTTTAGTATAAATGTAATCTGGAGGCTTTTGGGAATGCCTTTTAGAGTGTACCACCAAGTTTCCGCCTTTGATATGCGATGTTCTGTCACGCATTGTGGTTTCAGAGTACCTCTGAAGATAAATAAATCAGCCTTCATTGTTTGTGATGTTTGTTGCCAATTGCAATGTCCAAGCATACCGATTGAATGTTGTCAGGTCTCACAAAGCATCACATAAATATTCCTCCAGAAATGCTTTTGTGTCCACTGCAAACTGTACAAAAGTGATCTGAGGAATTTTAGACCATCCAGTCAAGTGCAAGGAAATAAAATAATTTAGTCTTAGATCACTTTTCATCCTTCACCAAACATACATATATCCAGCTTGATTAACAACCTGCCTGCCATTTGCATGTATTGAGTATGTCAGCTGAATTAGCCTCTCCTTTCATCCATTCAGCACACGGACCTAGTTAACATGCAAAAAACCCTTTACAAGCTTCCTCCTGCCTCAACACTAGATATTTCTAAAGGTAATGACAGTTCAAGCTAATATAATCCAAAAGTCCTCAAGAGATCAACAAAGCTACATTACAGTGCAGTAAGAGATTGTGGTTTGCGCTGTAATAGGAAACACCTTTTAGAAAGTTAGTTCTTCAGTTGGTGGTGTTTGTGAAGGAACCTTGCTGGTCTCATTGGTGGGAATGCTTTGCGCAAGACCCAAACGTTAGTGGAATTTCGCTGTTTGCTGTTGGTAACTCTTTCTCTCCTGTGTCTCTACTGCATCCTCATCGGCTCTGCAGACAGTGGCCTGTCTTTTTTACATATTCTCTCATTTTGGGAGGGATCTCAGGCGTTCAGTCAGTCGATTTCCTGCTTGAGGATTCTCATTAGCCCCATGGTAATTGTCTCCTGCATAATAGACATATGGAAATTACAATGCCGTTCATCATTAGTGCTTTAATTGCGAGCCACCTTCAACTCCTTGCACAGTAAATAAGAGAGAATTTCCAACAAATTCTGTAGGAATTAAACTTCAAATAATTCTCGTGACACCAGTGAGCTTCCCTAGTATGTTTTTTTTCCAATTCAGTTTAGCTTCTGTTAGGTTTAATTTTGCATGAATATAATTTAATTTCTGTTTTTTGAAAATAAGTATTTTTGTTTAGTTTCGGTGTAGATTCTTTCCTTTTTGCTTAAAACCGACTCAACACTGCCTATTTTTACACTTGTTTTTATCAGAAATCATACTCCAAATAATCCCTAACTAGACTCTTCCCTATTTAGCTTCCCTATTTCTGCTGTAACTATCATCACGCTACCGTATTCATGGAAAGATCTCTTCATATATAGCTGAATTTACTGTTGTTTTATTTTCACCATTTATTCAAAGCCAGTGTGACTCAAATATGACCCTAAACACACCATCCCATTGTGTTTGTGTTCTCTTCCTACAGACAAATGGAGGTCCTGATCAGTTTGAACAGTGGCACATCGTACCTCACCAGTGCTTTCACCATAACTGCCTCCTCATGTGTAAGTCAAACATGAGATCGGAAAGAAAACATCCATAAATGTCTCTTCATCCTATAAAATAATTTAGAACTAAAAAATGCAATAAAAATAACTGTCTTTGGAATATAATTTATTTTACATGCAGTATTTTCTTTCTTTCTTTCTTTCTTTCTTTCTTTCTTTCTTTCTTTCTTTCTTTCTTTCTTTCTTTCTTTCTTTCTTTCTTTCTTTCTTTCTTTCTTTCTTTCTTTCTTTCTTTCTTTCTTTCTTTCTTTCTTTCTTTCTTTTTTCATAACAATTTGCTATTATCCTATTTTTAGGCTGATTGTAAATATTCCCTCTCTCTCATTAGTCAGACGGCACAGTGGTGGCCATTGTGTTCTTGGTGCTCTTTCTCCTGTTGGCTTTGGCGCTGATGTGGTGGTTCTGGCCTCTCTGCTGCACTGTCGTAAGTGTCACATGTCTTCCTGCTCTCAGTGCCGAATCTCAAGATTTTGTCCCTTTTCTCACACAGAATCTGGATTGATTGGGTAGATACTGGAATTGAGATTAACATGTTTATCTTCCATATTTATAATTTCCTATATAACATTTTCACTGTAAATTCTCTTTTGGTTTACATAATCTGGTTACAGTAAAATAAGAAATCAGTAGTAGGAGCTCTATTGCTGTAATATCCTTGTCTAAGCTGTATTTTTTAAAGACAGCCTTCTAAGGAAGCACAGTGCATAGAAACAGACCATACCACATCCTGACTATACAATTATAATATTTGATATGTGCAAAAAAAGGCCAGAAGTTATTTTCCTATTTTGAGATAAAAAATTGAAAAAAATTGTTACCCAAGTTTGGCTGCAGACTAAAAATGAAAAGTTCGCTCTCCTATACTAATAATGAAAAAGCAGCAACACTTCTCGGGCTCTAATGCACTTGTATATATAGATGCACTAGAAGCTCTAGAGATAAGATCTAGAAGTTGTGAAGCTGGCGAGTATCACTATGGCAGTCAGCATCACTCTGCACAACCAAATGATATGCGCCACCTCTCTTTGAGAACCTGGTGGGAGCCATTCCAGGATGAGATGGAAGCATATTTTGGAAAACCAACAAAGGCATTAAAATGTAAACCCCCCGCAGCATGTCTGGACTCGGCCCTGTTTGTCTTGGTGGAGGAGCTGCTGTTCCTCTCCATCAGGGACCCCGGCACAAGAGAAGGGCCATGTGTGCTTTGTTAATATTTAAACTCAGCCTTGCCAGTTTTCAGCAATCAGAGAAATACAGAAGCACCTCACCCCCCCTACACCCCCCCACTCATTAGTATCCACAGCCACACCAGCATGTCCTCCGCAAATATACCAAATATGAGTCAAATTAAATTATACCAAATATTAGTCAAATTAAATGCGGACGTTTGGAATTCATTTTGGTCATAAGAAAATGGAGGGTCAAGTATGAAAGTATGTGTTTTTGCACCTGTATATCACACAACACTTACATTTTAATTTATATTTTATATATATAATTTAAGTGCCGTAATATATATATATATATATATATATATATATATATATATATATATATATATATATACTATGTACAGTACATAATATATAATATAAAAAAATATCATTACTGTTGGATAAAGGCATCTGTTTAATTATGTTTTGATAATACATTCTTAGGTCATTCATTTGTTGTTTTACTGCAAACAGGTTAATTTTATGTTAATGGAAATGCACCATTTTAATTTGCAAATATGCTACCTGCTACTTGTCCATGATCATGTTAAGCCTGGAAAACAGCTTGACACAACCATGTGTTCAGAGGGGTGAAATGGACAGATTATAAACTCCAATTGGACAATTATCCCAAAAGCCATATGGGGATGTTGCACCGCTGGACTGTGATTGGTTGATTCCACAGCTGTGCCACTAGTTCTTAGCCCCTCGTGCGAGTGTCAGATGGCTAAGTATACTGAGATTTTAGATTTAATTATCAGCTCTTCATCGCCTGAAACACATTTAAAGGGTTATCCCAGCTTCACAGCTGTCCGTCAGGTAGTTTGAGAACCTAACAGCCCAGCATGTCATTTGTGTAATGCCTTATTTATCCCACAATATGGCTGGCAAATATAAATCTGTTCTTTAATTACTCTGTAAAAAAAAAAAAAAAAAGCTAATCCTTTAGCACAAGGTTCTCAAAGTTATGTTAATTATAACACACTGGGGCCCCACGGACGGATAGAACTGGATTTTTCAACAGTCAGTTATGAGTCAGAGCAATTAATTAACTCTAATTGATCATTTTCCATCATTGTAATGGTAGCAATGGCGAAATGGTATCAGTGCACTTTAATGTGAATGAAACAGCTGTTCTGCCCATGATATGTGATGATTAAAAGGCATTTTTTCCTGAAAACTAATTTGGTAAATGCTTAACCTGCAATGGCACTGTATGCATCTTTCATGTTTATTGAGACAAGGCTTGCTTCCATTTTGGAAAGCATCTGCAATGGAAGGGGTTACATGGTTGACAGGTGAAACATGGTCACATCCAAGGCGTTTTATCTAGATTGTTGGAGTCTATTCTGTTACAGAGGCTCAAGTTTTCAAATTACATATGTAGCCTTTACATTGCAGTATTTCGCCCTTTTAACATGACCCAAACTCACTTTTGTCTATTAACACATTTACCCATCACATCCAAGAGTGGTTAGATTTGTCAGGTCAGTTGATAAGCAGTTTGCTGAGTAGTCACTACTCTGGCATCCTCTGACTCTGGTGTTGTCAAAGACATTCCCAGTGAGGAAGACATCTTGTCTGTGAGAGAAGTCACCTGCTGAATCCAGCATAGTGTTTCTCATGACAGATAGGCTGTCACAGAAAGTGCCACAGGAAGACATTTCATCCTGTTAACGCTCCTCTCCTTTGCACTGGGGATTGACCTGGAGTGAAGCCCAAGTTTCCCTTCTGCATTTCATTGCAGCTAATTAATTCCTCAGGACTTTATGATTGGGGGAATGCATGGGGATTGAACCTCATCCAATTAATTAAGAGATAAACGGACCACCATGCTCACCCCAAAGACTCCCCTGTCAACAAGTTGATTTTTGAGCGCTCTTTATTTTGCACCAGGGGCCTACCGCGTTAGTTTACAAGCAGACCCTGTACTCAATTGTGGTGGTCTCAGGCTTCAGTTGTTCAATTGTGAATCACATCCTTAGACAGCGATAACTAACTTTGTTTAATTAACTTTGCATTTTTTCCTCTCTCTTGTCAGGTTATTAAAGACCCACCCCCTCAAAGAACTCATCGACCTCCACCTCCACCTGTAAGATTATTTTTTGTATAAAATATAAATATTTTTTAATGAAAAAAATGTAATCAGTGTTTTTTGAATGTATATACATTTGATATAAAAATACATATAATTATTTTATAGAATACATACAATGTTTATTTACTGTTCATTTGAAGGTATTATTTTTAAAATATTTTAAATATACATAAAAGTTCAAAAGTTTTGGGTCAGTACTTTTTTAATTCATCAAGGAATCCTGAAAAAAAATCAGCATATTAGAATGATTTCTGGAAGATCATGTGACACTGAAGACTGGAGTAATGATGCTGAAAATTCAGCTTTGCCATCACTGGAAAAAAATACATTTTAAAATATATTAATTTGAATTAATATTTGACAGTATTACTGTTTTTAATGTTTTTTTTTTTTATCAATAGAGTGGTGCTGGTGTGACGTCACTTAGTAGGCCAACCAGCAGTTAGAATCACACTGGTTCCCTTGACCAGTAGGATTTTCCCATAGGTTTTTGGATTATCGCTTAAAGAGCATATTGTAGGTTAAAAAAAAATCTAAATTAATATATAAACTTGTATGAAAATACCATATGAAAAGTTAATGCAGGATTTAAAATGTTTTAAAACGACATAAGGGCACTAATTTAGTGGATAAAGTGAGCGTTTCTTGGACTGCTCGTAAAAACGGCTTTTTTTTCAACATCGCGTCATTTTACGTCACGATAGGGAGCCTTAGCCTCGGCTCAGTGCAGAGTAGGCTGGTATTCAGTAAGGGCGGTCGTGAGTCAGTGTGTTTTCGGTAGTTTTTGTATTTTAATTTATCATCGTCATGGTAAATTATTGTGTTTGTGGAGGTTGCAAAAACTCCGGCCTGTCAGGACATCGAGTCCACAGGTTTCTATAACAAGAAAAGGGACGGTGCTATATATCTTTCGTGCCTGGTGCGGTTTGTGCAGGTGAAGAGACGGATTTCTCTTCCGCATCGGCTTCGAAAAACCCGGTCGTGTGTAGTGTTCACTTCAGATCGGAGGATTATCATCCCGGCAATATGATGGGAGTTTAACATGGGATGCCGAAGCAAGAATATTGATCGTCTTATACTATACCAATGGCATCAAATAGTGTGATATAGGTAGTCATGCCCTAAATAGAGGCAACTTGTAATTGAAAAACAAAATTACTAGGTTGTTTAAATATTCAAATCTTTAATTTTCTGTTTATGTTATAACCCAGGTGAAAAATATGTATTAAAAATGTACTTGAGTATGTTTTTAGTACAATAGAAATATACTCAAGTATAGTTTTTATACATTTAATAGTATAAATCTACCCTAAACATACTAATGTCTGCTGGCCTGATATATGATGGAAGGTAATAATCTGTACAATATTGTGAGCACAGTGTATATCGTTAGCGAACGTGTATATCTATAAGCACATCTCTCATTAAGACACCTGTCCTGTTCTCCACTGGTTCTCCTCACACCACAACTCAATTTGTCTCTGACCGTTCTGTCTAACATTAATCCTGGCCTCTCCCTGCTCTCTTGGCAGCATAGCAGGCTCATAATTGTATGGCTGTGGTCCGTCATACGAGTAAGTATGAACAATTTCCTCAGCGTCCGAAATGTCATAGCGATCCATTGTTTTCCTGTTGTTTGAATCGACCGCTCTCCCGCCCGTTACGTCACGCCCGCCACACCCATTTTCAGACGTGGAAGTAAAATTTTCTCACAAAAACGACTCCAGAAGCTTCTGTAGCGTATTTATAAGTATATTTGAAAGAAAATCTAGTTCCTACATTATTTTTCTATACATTGACTTGTTGGGTCCTCTAACCTGCAATATGCCCTTTAAAACAAGCTCTGTGATCAACAAAAGTTTATTATATTTGCGCGTTTTGTCCATCAAGATAATTATAACAGATGAACACAACTTTTATGAATTTTGAAGCCTAAATGTAGTCACCTGAAGTAAAAAGCTAAAGCTAGGCTACAAACGAACTACACCACGTCACCATCACTAACCTTCCGACAACTCTTTTTATCTAAAAAAGATTTTCCAGAACGTTTGAGTTAGAATAGTTTATAAGATCACAATTATAAACATAACAAGGCTGTAAAAGCGGACTGAGCTTACCTGTTCGGCATGATAACGTTTAATCTCCTCGACAGCCTTTGTAGTCCCATTTAGCAAACAGCTGAAAAAAAAAAATCACGAGTGGGATAATACTGATGTATATTATGTTGTAGATTAAAACGTGAAAGTGTCTTGAGCTTGTGCTCACTACAGACCTTATTTCAGCCATTTAACCAAAACCCCATTCAAAAAACCCATTGACTCCGGGACGATGGAATTGGACGTGCTAAAATGATAACTCGCTTCCACGTTTTGGCCTACAAAGTGATGTCATACCTGCACCACTCTATTGCAGCCTTGGTGAGCAAAAGTGACTTCTTTTAATAACATTAAAAATCTTACCGACCCCAAACTTTTGAAAGGAAGTGTACATAAAGATTGTAATTACGTATCTGCTCTTGTATTTGCAATGCACATATTTCTTTGAGGCTTTAAGTCTCAATTTTATTTATTTTCTGTTCTGTATTTTCTGAAAAAATAAATATTTTTTTCAGATACCAGAGCCAGACCCACTACCCAAGAAGAAGTGGCCAACTGTGGATGCATCTTACTATGGAGGAAGAGGAGCTGGTGGAATCAAACGCATGGAGGTGAACGTTACATTTAACCTATAATGATGTGCAGCCCCCTGATGACAGAAAATGTTTTGATGTCATCACAGCTGTCTTTGAGCATTTTCCAGTTGTCTACCACCACCACTCCCTCTCTCTCTCTCTGGGTGTAGGGGGTAGGGAGGGTGTTAATTTTGCATGGAGACTGGAGCAAGTGGATCTTAGGACCATTCTTGTTTTCTTTGGCTTTCTCTTACCAGTGACCATGGACTGAGAGTTGAGCAAGAAATTGAAAATCTGGAGTGGACATTGAGCAGAGTAATTTTAAAGTGCTTTGATTGGGGTCACATGCACAATATATTGATACCATATCAGTTATCGGCTGACATTAGAGATTTCTGTCATTTTAATATAAGCCATTCATGGGTTATCGGATATAACGTGAATATAAATACCGGTACATCCCTAGTCACCTGCTCTGTTCCAGTCTTTGCATTACTTGGATATATTGTTGTAGAAACAAATATTGAACTAACTAAGAAAGCTTATTGTTCTCTGTTGATCCACACAAGAGCACTTGTTCTTCTTTCCTGTATGAAAGCCATTGTGTCTGTGATGTCAAGCTCAGCACACCTCAAAGTTTCTGATAGAAATCTCCTTAAATGTAGCACAGCCTCTGACTGATGGTTTTGACGTGACAGGGCCCTGCCAGTTCGGCCTCAATGATGTCCCACTGTCTCAAGTCATGTTGACGCTAAATGATTGAGAACTGCTGTGACGAGATTAATTCCTCTTGCTGACTTCCATTCTGTCATTCAACTTTTGTTCAGCTGAAATGTGCTACTTGGCACTGTATCCATCTCAAAGCTGGTTTTAAAAGGGATATTTGTTTCATGCTCAGCCACCCCTCCTCCAGTCTCCCATGTAAAGAAGACATCACTGAAGTTCCTTCTGAAAGCTTTGGAAACCGTTTCTACTAACCTTTCCCATGAGTGTGCAAGGGATGAGATGGGCTCAGGGCTTACTGAGTTACAACTGTCTTTAATGTTTCGAAAGCTTTCATTCATCCAGACAACCGATCTCCATTTCTGAAGCTATCTCTGGACCTGGGGAGGAGGTTTACCTAAGTATGCCTACTTGCTCTTTACTTAAAACACATGCTGACGTGTGAAGAGGGAAACATGGGATGCAAAGAATGTTTTATTAATTGAGAGTTGTTGCAGATTGGAATGTGTAAGTCTGACTAATTTGATCCAATGCCGGCATTCAAATTAGCGGTGAAGGTCTCAACGCGCGTTCCGTCTCTTCCAATGGCAGAGGGATTTATAATTAAATGCAATACTTTTTATCTTATGTATTAACTCGTTTCATCTGACTCCATAAATGAAAGTGTTTTTCAATGATATCTGTGCATCATTAAGTATACGTTAATGTTTGACTGTTTCTTTTATCTCCAATGAAAATAATATCAAAGCCTGTTAGAATAATCAAATATAACAATTTATTATGTCAGGTAAAAGTATTATGCCAATTTCATAATCAGTTCAAATATCATCAATACAAAACATCAAATGCTCTAGGATAAGAGAAAACAGATGCAAACCCAACATTTTAAGAACTACATGAGCTAACTCATGGGCTATCTGAAATACAGAAAAAGCCCTGAGCTCTCTCTGCATTTTCCTTATATAGCCAGATGTAAAGCTTGAATTTAGTGGAAATTTACTGTGTTCACCCCCCCAGACTCACTGGGGGTAGAAGAACCATTTTGCTAAGAACAGTGGAAATTAGCAATCATGAATTTTCACCTTTGGGAGTGCCTAGACCACATTCCTTTGTGTGCCAGTTATTCCTAAACTCTTAAAACCCTTATTTCCTTTTGTTTTACTTCTTTTGGAATGAGACACTCGTACCAGCCACCCTGAGACCTTTAAAATGATACTAAACACAATCCTTAATGATAATCATTCACATTAAAACCATACATATATTCTTATGTGAGTTTCAGGTGATCTGCAAGAGTGGGGGGAAGCTGTGTGTGTGTGTGTGTGTGTGTGTGTGTGTGAGAGAGAGTTGTTCACATGTTAATTTGCAAGCAAGGTCCTTTGTCTTCGGAGACCAGTGGTCAGATCATTTCTCTTTAACCAGTTTTCCAGTCTTACAGAATGTCCAGGGATTCTATTGAAAAGCTTTTCTATATTGATGTGACTTAATTTACAGCTTGAGAAGTGCAGTTATAATTAAGCACTTTTCAGTGAGGGACAGGCCGAGAACTAAGAAAAAGTACTTTATTGTATATATATTTTTATGTATACTTTTTATTTATATAATGTAATGTAATATAATCTAATATAATACCTTTTCTTTTTCAAATATCTGTGTAGGTCCGTTGGGGAGAGAAAGGGTCCACAGAGGAGGGCGCACGGCTAGAGAAAGCCAAGAATGCAGTGATATCGATACAAGAGGAGGCCGAAGAACCCATGATCAAAAAGCCAACTGCATCCCCACCCACATACCATCAACCTGAATCCAAGTGGTATACTCCAATCAGGGTGAGTCACTTACTGTTGCAATTGAGGCCATTACCATCTTTCTGTCGCCTCCCTTTCCTTATTTTGAGTCCACCTGAAAGTTCCACTCTATCATTTTTGAAGCCTTTGCTTGAGATGAGTGGAAAAAGAAACCAAGCTAAGGCCACATATTGATATTTCTTGTTTTATCATAGGGCCGCCTTGAGGCACTTCGGGCTCTTCTGCGGCGGCAGTATGACCGAGTTTCGCTCATGCGCCCAACGACCGCAGATAAGGTAAGCCACAGATGGTTTACCCCAATACAAAATGCAAACATGATTCATCACTCTTGCATACTACCAAAGTAGAGCCAATTTTTTGTTGTACATAAAGCATGGGGTGTCAGTTTTTCTGGTGTAAGCGTTCAGGGGATATTTATGAGTGTGTGAGTTTGTGTGTGTATTAAATGCGTGCAAGTTTCACAAACCTCAGCTGCAAAGACTCTCAACAGGATGTGACTGTCATGAACTTGTGCCTAAGACACTTCCTCTTTTGTAACTTTTGTAGTGCAATAATATATGTGCACAAAAAGTCCTATGAATGTGCAAAGACAACATTCAGAGTAAGTAAGCTTTATTTGTATAGCACCTTTCACAGATAAAATCACAAAGTGCTTTACATGTAGCAAAGTAGCAATTTGAACAGTTAAAAAACATTATACAAAACATACAACATAATAGCTCAGTCAACTAAAAGATTGTCTGAATAGAAGTGTCTTCAGCTGTTTTTTAAAAGAATCAACACAATCAGCCACACACAACGACAAGGGCAGGGCATTCCACAGTTTGGGAGCAACTGCTTGAAAAGAGCGGTCTCCCCGAGTTTTTAGGCAGGTTTTGGGGACCATCAGGAGATTTTGACCTGAGGAACGAAGAGTGCGAAAGGAAGAGTAAGGGGTCAACATGTCTGCAATATATTTAGGGGTCTGTCCATGTAGGCATTCCATTTAAGAACAGAATGTGTTGTTTTGTTTTCATTGTTGTATAGATTACTCCACCATAGAAACGTTTCTTATGCTTACCAAGGCTGCATTTATTTGATCAAAAATATAGTAAAATAGTAATATTGTGAAGTTTTATCACAATTACAAATAACTTCTCTTTTTTCAATTCAATTCAATTCAAATTTATTTGTATAGCGCTTTTCACAATACATATTGTTTCAAAGCAGCTTTACAGAAAGTGCATTTCAGAATTTTTTATAATTTATAATGTATTTCTTTGATGGCAAAGTTGAATTTTCAGAGTTTTTAATGTAGTAGTAGAACTACTGTTTAATATTTTTTTTAGGAATATTTTTCAGGATATTTTGATAAATAAAACTTTCAAACGACTAGAATTTATTGGAAATAGAAATCTTATGCGACATTATAAATGTCTTTAATGTTTACTTTTAATCAATTTAATGCATCCTTGGTGAAGAAAAGTATGAATTGACTCCAATATTTTGAACGGTAGTGTATATTGAATGTGAAGTGAACTTGTGGATCATCCTCTTGTGAGACAAAATTAGCACTGAAGTAAACAGGCTTCACAAGGCTGACTACGTGTGCACTACAATAAAAAAAAAATAAAATCCAAAGTAGTGCACAGTTTGAAGCATTTGTTTGGGTTTGTTTCATCTTGAAAAAGTCCTCACCGCATCCGTGGTGCTAGTGCTCCCATTAGCTGAAATATCCCAGTCACGCTTGAGCCACTTGTTCTGTTTTACTTTCTTCAAAAGAACTGTTAAAACCTTTGTAACTCTCAATACATCTGAGATGAGGGTCTGGAGCCTCCAAGCGGGACCCTGGCACACTTCAGTGAGGCCACAGCTCGATCGTGCAGACTTTCAAGCCCTTGATCAAGTGCACTGGGTGCAGGCATGAGCTATCAAAGCCCGAGGAGTCCCTCGCCAGAGCCAAGGTGGGCCGCGTACTCTCAGCTAGAGAGAGGGGGGCTTTGATGCCCGACAGGAACCCTCGGGGGTCATGAATTTTTCAGCGTTGGATCCGTGGGGTTACGAGGACTCATACAGGTGTAAGGAAGCAGGTTGTCGCAGACATCTGTTCAGCTCGGAGACCCCTCCCGGCCCCTCCCCCCACTCCGCCCACAGACAGACTGCTGGATTGTCAGCAGATGTAGTTTTTTCAAGACAGCCTGAACACTTTCTGCTCTCCCATTTACCGCCTGAGGGGCTCCAACACCAAAGGTAGAGCGGAGGGTGGACACAGCTGCACTGCCGAACTTGCCTGGGGCACAAATAAAGAGATCTAATGTGGTTTGACTGTGTTGTTAGGGAGACCGGGGAGCCAGAGAGGCACTTCAGAGCCAGCTTAGCGCTGCAACATCTGCCGTCAAGTTTCCGGAAAGAGCGGCAGGGGACAGCAGGTAGAGAAGGTGGCAGCGCGTCAAGGGCTGGCCTATTACTGGCGGGGGCTCTTTTGAACGCCCGCCCGCCCGCCCCTGTGTTTCTCTCTCTTTCTCGCTCCCACCTCTAACTAACAGTCTCGGCAGGGCTCGGTATTGTTTTACAAAGCAGCAGTCTGCAAAACACACTAATAAGCACCTTTATAAATGATACATTAACATACATTAACCCCAGAGAGCTGCCACACAAAGGCAAAATCGAGATGGGACCCGTAGAAAAGGCTTTTGTTTCTCCTGCTGCTGTGGGTCTTAAAAGGATTGTTCACTCAAAAATTACAATATTGTCATCATTTACTCTACCATTCAAACGTTTGGGGACAGTAAGATTTCTGCAATTGTTTGATCAAAAATACATTCCTATGTAATGTATTAATTTTCAGCAGTCATTTGTATTTCTTTTCCCCAGGATTATTTGATTAATAGAAAGTTAAAAAGAACAGTATTTATTTGAAATAAAATCTTATTTTTATCATTTGATCAATTAATTGCATCCCTGTTGAAGTATTAATTTCTTTAAAAAAAAACATATTGACCCCAAACTTTTGAACTGTATGTGTAAGTATGAAGTGAACTTTAGTCAAGTGTATCATCCTACAAAATTAGCCCTGAAGGAAATAGACTTTGCATGTCCATGCTGTTTACGTGGACACTTTGATTGAACTTTTTATCTTCCAAAATAGGGCACCATTTGAAGCATTTGTTTGGGGTTGTTTTAAAATGAAATGATAGTTCTTCCAAAAGTGACAGTTCTATCATCATTTGCTTATGTCATTCCAAACCTATATGACTTATAAGTAAGAACTAAGATAGTTTAAAAAATGTCTTCTTACAATGAAAGTCAGGTGGGGTACAGTGTTGATTTGTACTTCATTGACTTAAAATTGTGTTTCTCAAAAGAAATGAGAGAGTAAATTATGACAGAATTTCTTTTTTATTGCTTTTGTTTCCATACTAGAGGCTTCGGGGGTGGTATGGGAGTAATGATGATAACTGATGGTGATTATAGATATAGGGTGATTTTACAATATTCATTTTCAAGACGTCGTTCCGCGGGTTTTGTTATTTTTTGAGGAAATCAATCCTCATTTTCTCTCTGATTTCAACTCCCACACTCTCTTACTCAGGCTGAGCCGATATTGTCAGATGTTTCGAAGCCAAGGCAAGCTCAATGTGTAATACAGACATGGTGCACACACAAGATTTTCAGATTGCAGCCCCCACACCCCCAGAAAGCATTGTTCAAGACGTATAATGTCACTTTAGCGTTGCCTCTGCATACATTAAACCCTATTAAAATCATTCTCTGTATAACACGTACCTTATTAGCCCATGCCGACTGCTTGCCTCCTTAGGGCAGTGCTGTAATGAGGTGGAGTGTATTTTTAAATGGTGTAAATTCCGACCTCAGACAAAGAAAACATGTCAGCTCGCAGTCCCGAGGCATGGTGCTCGTGGCGGAACTTTCCTCGGCAAAAATAAATAAATAAAAATCTACTGTTGCGGCCCAGTGTGACAGCATCTTAATTTAACAGTCATCGGTCACATAAACAGAGCGGTGGGAGCATTTTAATTAAGAGACTGCAAGCGGGCGGCACGGCGGGGCCAACTCTTGAAGAATGCCATTATAGAAGCAGGAGAGAGGAAGAGAGGGAGGCAACGCTGGCATGGAGAAATAGCGACGGGGTAGAGGACGAAGGAGAGAGTGAGAACAAGAGAGAGAGCGGGGGGAAATTGAGGCTCTAGGCTGGCGGGCCGGGTCCCTCAGGTCGGAGGCACACATGGCCAGGCTTAGCCGCAATAGTGTTTAAGAGCCCAGTCTCATGACTGGATTAGGGCGCAGAGCGGCAGACCGCGAACTGTTTGTGTTTTACCCCGGGAGCCAAGAGAGTGAACAGTGTCCTAATGAACTAGCAAGGCCAGTATGAAGTGGGTCTGGCTGCTGTAGTGAGGGGCAACTGCCTAATGAGCAGAACTGAGCTGCGCTGAACAAATCAGGGATGCAACAACTGTCAGAAAATGTGGTTTGCTTGGCACTAGGTAGAAGCAGCCTCATTTAGATATGCAATATGTGTTGCCTTTCAAGCTCCTTTATGAGATTTTTTGCAATGTTAAAATACTTTCTGCCATTTCTAGGCTGATTTCCTCAAAATGCGTAAACACTGTTGCTCTTTGGTTATCAAAATATCATTGCAAAAAAAGCATTTTGTTATTTTTTTGCTGTCTTTAAAAAAAAAAAATAATATCTAAATATTCTTCAAGATGTTTTCAAAGATTATATCTTGAATTATTACCTCATTTCCAAATGGTTGTTTTTGTCTTTTAAGCATACATCGAACAACATTTAGCGAGGTTTATGCTTAAAAAAGAAAGACAAGAATGAGGGGAGAAAAACTTAATTAAAAATGAAAAATTTTTACATCTTAGAAAAAGTGTCTTTTTAGAGGATGTTTTAATGTTTTTACTGGATAACAAGACTAAGATACTGAAAATACTGATTTGTATTGTTATTTTCCAGTGATTACTGTTTTTTTTAAGCATCCCAATAGGCTCAACACAACAACATTGACTCAACCAGTGGTGTTAGTTTGAGGCAGGAGAATCTGTTTAATCTGATTTTAAAATTATTACTGCAATTCCAGTTAGTGATGCTGTGTGCAGACATGAATCACTTCAGCTTTAAGGCACTATTGTTTTTGGTTGCATTGAAATGACTTAATTTCTCGCCCAAAAAATCCTTTTGTCATGAATCCCATTGATATGCAGATTTCGTATAATCAATGTGCTGATTAAACAAGAACACAAATTGTGTACTCGCATCTCAAGAAAAA